CATATGTGACAATGAAATCAGTTCCACACATGTGGAAATCAGTTCCACTTATGTGGAAATCGTAGAGCTTTTTGTTTTATAAATATTGACACAGAATACGAGGGAAGCTTTTACTTGATAAAAATCTTGATAAAATTTCTTTACAAAAAATTTATCAAGAAAACACAGAATTGGGCCGTCAGTATTTAAATATTCAAAAATTCTAGACAGGGCTGCCAACGATCTTTAGCTATGAGGTGCCATATTGAGAATAAAAAAGTGCCAAATAGAAAAATAAAAGTGCCAAAGAAGGTGCGTTCCTTTTTAATCCTTCCCATTTAGCAAAAAATAATAACCACATTTCTAAAACAAAAGTGCAATGCCAGTTGAATAATCTTTAGAAATTAGAAAATATTAGTTGAGAAAAAGAAGTACACGCAAAGGATTTCACAAAAATGTATTGAAATATTACCATTTATTTTTGAAAATTGCAATTTTGGTGTATATTTGATGATTCTATAAATTTTATTTTTTTTTAATTACTTTCAATTTGAAGCTCACAAAAATTTTAATTATAAGTGGGTTTCCCTCTTTGCGCCAGGAAGCAAACTTTATACTTAACGTCCTCCCCGTTGCTTCGTTTGAGTGTGGTATTGAATAAAAAACCAAATTACATACATATACTATGGAAACGTACCACTCTTCATATATATTTCCTCATGGCTTAAATTACTTTTTTCAGAACTACATGTTTTGTACGAAAAATTCTTCTACAAAATCAATAAATTGGGAAAAAAGAATCGATAGTTATAAACAGAAGCCACTCAATTACCCAATTTTGTTGCTATTAAACTGAAAGTTATTTTCGAGATAACTAACAACCCTTGTCAAAAAACGTCAGTCCTCTTTTTAAATAACTTATACTCCATCATGTTATCGCAGGTGGTACTTAACGATCCGGCGATATGCCCATAAAACGATTGCTCCTTTTGTTGTATTAGTTTCTTGCGCATATCAAACATTATTTGGAACATGGAAACTATAATAAAACTATTTTCTTATTACTTTTTACAGTACAGTTTAAAAAAGTTCCAACGTTATGTAAAACCTTGTGTTGGCATAACAAAAAATGAAAATAGTGGAAAAAAGCAAACGATAATTAACAAGACAAACTTAGCACAGTGCGTAGGCAACTGGCTGAGTCAGTGGTGATCGTCGTTCGAATCCTACTGAAAGAAGTCTGATGAGGAAATGTGGTGATTTCCGAAATAGCTATCACTTGTACCATTTTTTCAAATTATTGTTGCTTTTCCACAATAAAAAACTTTCATTAAAAAACGGCCTCGAGCTCAATAAAAATTGTTAAATTTAAGTAAAACCTTAAAGAAAAGCCTTAGGTATTGTCTTCTTATAAAATAATATTGCACAAACAAAATACATGGGGGGAAAATACCGAACACCGAGTTACCGAGTACCAAGCTCGGTGGGAAGAACCCACAAAAAATTCTTTTTCAATGTTTCCCGCAGTGGAATTCTCACAATCGCTACGCTAAATTTTCGTCGTGAAAATTCCCTAAATAAAAAGCAGTGGGACCTAAAAGTATACTGAATTAAAAAGTAATAACTGCAATGTATAATCAGCCAAATCTGGCAGTATGAGGGGCAAATATCTAGATGTTGCGTGATTTTTGGCGATCCAAATTAGCAACAGAAAATGTTGGAATCCGGGTGCTGATTATAAAAAGGCAATAAACCCTATAATAAACGAAAAAGAAAATAAACCCTTTTCCATGTAAAAAACATTTCGCTTCTACTTTGTATGTAGAAAAAGGGTAGAATCGTCTGCAAAAAAATATTAAAAATCCAAGCGAATTATTATACGAAAACTGAATGCGCTGTGAAACTGCATACCAGAATTTTATTCAAATATTCTGATTAAAAGTTTAATGAAAAGTGTTGATGAAAGGTCGTTGAACTTTCTTTAATACGCAGATATAGTAGGTAGTGTGTGTTTATAACACAAATAGCCAACGTTTTTACTCCGACACTACGGAAACCCCAAAAACACTCCATTTTTTGTCCCATGCCACTCCGCTCGAAAATTATAATTATAGTTTTAGCTGTTGAATCTCGAACACTAGTATTATGAAATGCGTGAGTTAGAAACGGGCACGAAGGCAAAAACATGCCTTTTCACGGGATTGAGTGTAAAAAGTGACATAACTTCGTTAATTTTTGAGTTACGATTCTAAATTTTTTAGGAAAGATGGGTTTTTCGAAAAAAATGTCAGTTAGCGCCTTTCCACATTTCACCAACGATATGTATATGTATGTATATCGTTATAAAGCAAAGCGTTGTCGGAATGGTTATCAGGTTCCCAAGAGGCACTGCTTCGAAAGCACAAACTTTAGCTCCATCAATGTTACAATTTGAATTTCGTTGTGAAGTTGGTGTTAAGAAGGCATGAAATGGTAGTCTGTAGTTCTGCGCAGCGCTCCGTATCGAAAAGACTGCCTACACTAGCACAAATACGGGGGGTCAGTAACTTAAAATGCTCTGGTTTTGATAGAGCTAGTGAACTTGAATTTTTACACCTCCCAGCTGTTGACAAATAAATACTTAAATCGCTTATCAATATAGCATGCAAACAGGTAAATGCCTCCATGGAATGTGGGTCTCAATTGGTAACTTGAGATTTTCATCTGTCATAATTTGTGTTTGGTTTCCCAATAGATCATTAGAGCTAAAGAAGTTGGAATTTATTATATTGTTACTGTAAGTATATATATGTTATGTAGTATAGTATATTGTTACTGTAATTGAGGAAACACTGCACAAACATTGAGAGGTCGATGAGTGGTTGGCAATTTATTCGCCTTTCTTTGTAGCATCCGCACTGAATATTACAGAGCTGGACCTTTTTATAACTAAATTAGACAACACGCATTACATAATTTCATCCCGTATCCCGTAATTTATTATTT